TGGCAGTCCTCGGTGGTGGGGCGGAGACACGAGGAAAACACGCCGACAGATATAGAATATAGGCAACGATCGCGAGAGCTGACACCGACACACAGCATTCGCTTGCCCGTGTGTACATTCATCTGCGTCTCCTTGTTGCAAGATGCCGTCGCATGTACCTGTCTCTCGCTGCGGGGTGATGTCGTTGGAGCCGGGCGGCCTCCCATCTCCCGCTTCTCTTCTCCCTCGTCGTCACTGCCGGGCTCCAGCGGCTCGTTGCGAGGGCGCAAAAAGGCTGGCAGTCTGGCGTTCATGTCGGCCACCCTCCGCTCGTGCCTTTCCCGCATCTCCCTGAGCTCCTTGGCCACTGAGCCATATCGGACAGACACACACAGGTGTGTTGCTTGCCGAATGAACAGCCGTCTCTCTGTCTGGCTGGCTGTCGGCTGGCTGGTCATCTTACGTTGCTTGTCAGCCTCAGAGAGCGTCGCCTCCTCAGCGGAAGCTGAGACCGATGAGGGCTCTGGGGGCGGCGATGGTGGCTGCTGCTGCTCCAAGGCGGTGCGGTCGGCCTCACTCAAAAATCCTGAGAGGGAGAAATCAACAGCCAAGGCGCACCCACCAATGCAGACAGACACACGTGACGTGTCCCCCCTCTGTCATGTGCAATCCATACCTGAGAATTGTGATATCAGCACGTAGCCCTCTATCAGAGCCGGCACCCTCTTGTTGGCCGTCGACGGCCGTAGCCTTTCATACCCCCTCTCACGGTACTCGTGCCAGTCATTGTCCATCAGGGCCACCGACAGCCGCGCATCGCCGTCGGCAAGGCCGTCGGCGAGCAGCGGGACGGCGATCGGCAGGCCGCCGTCCCCCGTCACGCCCTTCAGCGCCTCGAGGGCCTCCGCCTCGGCGCGCAGCCGTCCGCCGAGCTGCGCCCTCTTCGCCTCGTCGAGGCGCCAGATGGCGTTGGCCACGACTGCCTTGAGCATCACCCGACGGCCCTCACAGTGGCCCTCGATGACGCCGTAGCGGGGATTCTCGCCGACGGGCCGCACCATGTAGCGGCCAGCTGGCTGGAACGCCGCCAGCATGGCACGCGACTCCTCTGACATGGCCTCAGGTGGTGCTGCTGCAGCTGAGGGTGAGTTGGCGAGGGCGAGGGGTATCTGTGGCGAGCCGGTGTCATACGGGTCGGCGAGGGGCAGCAGCGGCGATGAGCCGTCCGAGGCGTCACCTTGGCCAGCAGCGGTGGATGGTGGCGAGGGGCTGCCTGGGTGCTCCTGACGCGGCTGCGATGGCTCAAACAAACGACCTGACGACCGAGACCAACACACACACAGCAAACAGGACAATGATCGGTCAGGTCAGACATCACCCACATATCCCTCTGTCTGCCTTGCGCTTTGTGTGTGCCCCGTCACCCACTCACCTTCTTCAACAAGTTGTAGGCGTTCCTCACGCACATCATCCTCATGCACTACGTCATCCTGGCTCCTCCCTCGTGACCCTCCCCCTTCTCGGCGTGGGTGGATGGCGCCCCTTGCTCCCCCTTCTGACGCTCCCCCGCCTCGCTGTCGCTATCCTCATCGTCCCTCTCTCCCTCCTCATCGTTCTCCTCTGTGACCGGTTCGGGCCCCTCGTCGCCTGCTGCTGGCCGCAGCTGCCGCAGGTTGGACAGGCTCAGGGCGCCTGCTGCTGCCAGCTGGCGTCCGCCAAACGTAGGGCGCTGCTGCTGGTGCTGCTGGGGCGGCCGCCACAGTTGAGGCCGTCGGGCGTGCGATATGCATACCCCTCCCACTCCCTGCTGAAAGCCACTAGGTGGCCCAGCCCGATTCATTCCCTCCCTCGGCAGTCGCGCAATGTTGGGGCGATAACTCGCCGTCGTTGGTGCGGCGCGCTGCTGCTGCTGAAGGCCCGCCCTCGATTGTGATGGCCGGAGCAGATGGGCGGCCTGTTGGTGCTGCTGTGACAGCAAGACCAATAGAACCCTGGCCTATGTGCAAGACCATGCGAGACACCATGACATGTGCTTCTATCTATTCGTGTCAGCTTACTGAGTGCCAAAGATGACGATTGTCCTGGTGGGAGGTTGGAGGTTCCGGGCAAATAGAGCACCAGGCATCGAAATATAAAATGTAGGCAACGATCGGCAAACAGTCTGCATGGACAAGAGACAAGAGACACGAGACACGAGACACGAAACATGGGACTTGCTGTGCGTGTGGGAGTGTGTGTGTGGCTGCCTTCGTCACTCACCGTGGGGTGGGGCTCTAGCCACCCTAACCAAAACCCACTCACAGCGACGATGTCGAGGCAGTCGTTGTTCTCCACATAGTCCCGCAACTCGCTCTGACAGACACACACACACACACCAGTGGGTCGGAGGGATAGGGCGATAGTGTGTGATGCGATTGCGTACGTCTGAGCTCACATCTACCTTGTGTGTGCGTGTCCTGTGTTTGCAGCCGAAGAGATGGAGGGACCCACACCACACTGGGAAGCGACTCGGCGGACACCGCGTACGGCGCTCAGTGTGAGCTGGGCTGATCAGGCTTTCGGCCGCATCCACCAGCACTCGTTGTTTGCCCTCGGGCCCACGGCGAGCCGAGCCAGGAGGTGTGTGGGATGGACGACAAGGCGGGAGGGGGCGAGCAGCCCGGATGGCTCTCGAGGGTCAGATCGAGGGATTGGTGCACCTCTTGGTGACGCCAGAATGAGATGACATCCACACACAAGGGCCTCGGCCGACGCAGCGTGTAGCACCTGCACACACAAACAGAGAGACAGACAGACAGACAGACAGAGAGAGAGACAGAGAGAGGCATGTGAGTCATTCATGTGGCTGCCTGTGTACATCGCATTCGCGTGTCTGTCTGTGTGTCAATGACCGACTGGCTGGCCGGCTCACCTTGTGTGTGTGTGTCTGTGCCGGCGATGGGATGGGGTGACCCACACCACACCAGAGAGCGCCTCGGCGGACACCGCGTGCGGCGCTCAGTGTAGTGTGGGGCCGTTGGCTGACGTGTTGTCTCTCGCTCTCGCTCTCCATGAAGACGCACCCCTCCATGTCGATGTATCACGCACCAACATCGCTAGACAGCGCAAACTGCACGTACTGCGGAAGGTTGACGGAGGGGGCCGTGCATGTGATGAGGGTGTCGTTGATCCATGCCATGACGGCATACGTCGATGCGAAGACGCACTGAGTGAGGCGGCTGTTGCGGAAGACCGCCCCGGTGGTCGAGTCGGCGTACAACGATACAAGAGTGCCGCCGGTGAGGGGACCAGAGAGCGGCTCAGCCAACTCGACATCGAAGTCCTGCAACGAGCACATAGCATAGAGGCGTGGACTTGGCTGTCGGTTTCGTTTCGTTTGCCCTCAGCGGTTGTCTGTAGTAGAAGATGTGTGTGAGCAGGCCTCGATCGAGATTCTGAATCGTCCCGCCGGAGATCAGACGCAAGTAAAACACCACGTAGGTCTCCGCGGCAGGCACATTCGCCGGCACCACACACGTCAGCCCCGTCTCCGAGATGACTGCCATGCTCCTGCGGGCCTCGTCGGTCCTCCTCGTGCTGATCTGCCTGGTCTGTGGGATGCCGCCGCCGCTGCTGCCGTTGCGGTTCTCTGTCGTGCGGTGCGCCTCGATAAGAGGGGGAGCTGGGGTGGTAGGGGTGGTGAGGGGGAGGCCGAGGGCTGTTGCGGCGGGAGTGAGGGTGGGGGTGAGGGGGCCACACTATCGGACACACGGCAAAAACACAGACCGACTGACCGACAGACCGACCGACAGACAGGGAGGCAGACAGACAGACAGACGGACGAACGGACGAATGGACGAACGGACGAACGGACGAACGGACGAACGGGCAGGCAGACGGACGAGCAGTCAGACATACATACATACAGACAGTCAGACAGGCAGCCAGTCGTACCGTACAGAAGAGACGAGATTACTTTCCCCCAGCCAACCCCCACAGCCCGAATCAAAAGCCGCTCACGCACCTCATCCAGCAGTCCTGTGTGGCCCCCCTCACCCTCCACAGCCCCTCCTCCCCGTCCCACTCCCACAGGGTGAGACCATTGACGTCGTCATGGTACCACCCCTCCTCGTGGGAGGGGACGGGAGGCGGACCCCTCACCGCCACCGACCCCCAGGCCGTGAACTCCATGGGCAGCACCGCCGCCTTGGGCTGGACCGGGGGCAGGTGGTAGTAGAGGGGCTGCGGCTGGGCCAGGGGGAGGTGGTAGGCGACGGGCTGGGGCGGCGAGTAGGCGGCGGGAGTGTGAGGGCCAGCAGGGCGGGCCGTGGTGCCGGTGCCGGTGCTGGTGTTGCCCTGCTTCATGGCCCTCGACTCCGCGGCCTCGGCTGTCTTCTTTTTGGCTTTGCGCTGTACCAGACAGAAAGCAACGCAGCACAGAAACAAAGCGTACAGTGTTGCCACCTATGAGGTTTCCATTGTAGAAGCTCTCGCATGTGTCACTTACGTCGGCGCATCGCTTGCGCCTCCAGCAGGATGCCGGGGCCGCCGCTCGCATGCACCCACAGATTGAACTCCTGCAACAGGACATTATCAGATGCATCCGACAGAAGACTCCATATTGCAGCGCGCCTGCCTACCTCGGGGTTCTCCTTCTCGAGCTTCATGGCCATACTGCCGAACACTCGAGGCTCCTCCCCTTCCCTCACCAATGGCCAGTGCGACGGCCACCCCCCGGCAGCGGCAGCAGCACCAACAGCCTCAGGCATCCTATCTCTCTCTGTCTATCTGTCTATCTGTCCGTCTGTCTGTTTGTCTTCTTGTCTGTCTTAGTTGACTTAGCTTTTGGCAGCTTACCTCGGGGGTCTCCTCGCTCAACTTCTTGACAGGAGCTCTTCCGAAGACCAGCGGGTCCTCTCCGTCCCTCCTGAGAGGCCAGGCAGCACCGACACATCTAGCAGCAACAGCAGCAGCGACTTCGGGCATTCTCTCTCTCTCTGTGTGTGTGTGTGTGTGTGTCTGTCTATGTGTCTATCTGTCTACGTGTCTATCTGTCCATCTGTCTGTTTCTCTGTCTATCGATGAGATCCTTCTTTTTTGATATCATATCACTTACGTCAGCGAGCCGCACTGCGCCATGCAACAGGATGTCCCCGCCTCCACACTCGCCTGCAGAAGAGCATCCAGGCACATGCTCTTGAAGTTGACACACAGCATGACTTCTGCCCATGGGGAAAACTGTTTTTGATTGGGTGACTCTGCTTCAGAGGAGCGGACAAGGAATACCAGAGCAGAAATCTGAAACTTGACACTCACATTGGTTTCTCTGAACCTGGTGGGAGTCGTCGAGAAAGAGAGACGGCCTGTAAAAAAATCAGCATTCCGCCTGCAGACAAAGAGAGCCAGAGCAGCACGTGTACGACAACGAAACGGGTCAGACATTCATCGTGACATGCCATCCGTACATCGCACCATCACTACAGTCAAGAGGCACGACGCACTAGGCCACACACCCCACCGAAATGGTTATCAGCTTCTTCGTCGCTGCTGGACAGCAGGTCCTCCTCGTCTTTGCTACAACACCGGCACATGCAGCAGACACACGCATTATCACACCGCACCACCGCACCACCACACACTTGTACTGACCTGCTGGAGCCTCAGGTTTTCTCGAGAGAAACTTTGAGAAAGAAGGAAGGTGCCGTCACGCTCAGCCGCCACCGGGCAGGCGTCAGGCGCTCCGCAGAAGCCACTGCGCTGGTCTCCTTGTTGGGAAGGCAGGTGGACGAAAAAAGTGGCGGCCGACGTCGCGCAAGAGAACAGGCGTTGGGATGGGATGGGGCAGGCAACATCCGACGAAGACCAGGTAAAAACACAAGGATACGGAGGAGATGTGGCCGGAGGAAGGCAGCAGAGCAGTGGAAAGCGTGAAATGCCTGGAAATTGTGTTGAACGGTCTTTTTTCTCGTCTCCCGTCTCGGGGGCGAGATTTTTTCGCGCGAGCTTTTTCTGCGAGCTTAGAAATTGGTTGACTTTCTTTTGTGTTCCGAACATTACCCGATTACCCACCGGCAAATTCATCGTTCCCTAATGATTTGCAAAGCGGCTCCTTCATCATCACTGAAGAGAGATCTGTGATGGAAGGGTCAGAGGCGCAGCCGCTGACTCATCCAGTAGGGGACCGCCCGAGCCGGCGCTCGTGTCTGCTCTCGCGTGATGCCGTCCCTGCCATCGGCATATGCATCCTCATCATCGGATCTATCGCCACGGTAATTGATCAGACAACTTTTTTTTTCGCTGTCGCGCTTGGTTGGTGCATTTTCTGTGACGTCTGCGTGTGTGCCAGGTGTGGTCTGTCGGCAAGAAGAACATCGTCAATGAGGTCAAACACGGACAAACACACACGAAGAGCAATATTGAGAGCACGGTCGGAGCATCTGTGGGCATGCTGCTGTTGCTGTGTCAGGCCAAAGTGTGGTTCGGGGGTGAGGATTGGCAGGAGCATCCACTCAAAAACGGCACGCTGGCCACATGCATATTCACGCTGGGCGTCGTCCTATGCATACCGGTCGGCTACCGCTGCAAACGGAAGAATGGGAAGAAATCAGTGCAGAGGTATTTCTTTTCCGCAGGTTTCACTGATGGAGCTAGCCTATGGCGCGTTTTTCCGATGGTAAGCACTCGATCCAAGCGTTCGCGACAGCCAGCTGTGTGTGTGTGTGTGTGGCAGGTGGGCGCTGGTCATCTGTCTGATTGGCAAGACCGTCGGCAGCATGATATCTTTCGGCATTGGGAAGGTGGCGTGCAAAGGAGCTTTCGAATCGCTCATGCAGAAGTGAGCCGAACCGAACACAAAACGTCCTTACAAAACGTCCTTCCATCCCTCCTCTTTGTGGGCGGCCTCGTTGTCCAGCAATCGCCACTTTCAGTTTGTGGCATCCCTTGTGCGTGGCGAGGAGCTCTGCAATTTACTGCTCATACGGGCGACCTACGTGCCGATATGGATCAAAAACTACGGTGAGTACAGTCACAGACACGGGCATAAACTCCTGTGATTGCTGTCACCCGTCTGTCTGTGGGTCCGTCCCATGCATGGTTCAGGCATGGCGATGTTAGAGGTGAGTTGGTGGAACTTCTTCATCGCCGTCATGATATGCGGCCCGCCTTACACACTCCTCTCTGTCTCCGTCGGGGCCACCGCAAGGGACTTCGTCGACGCAATCAACACCAGCAGCACACGTGAGCTCACTCACACCACAACACACAACACGCCATTGGTCCTCTGAATCAACTCTCTCTTGTCTGTCTGTCTGTCTGTCTGTCTGTCAGACCCTCTGCGTCTCGCGGGTCTCTTCTTGTCGCTGGTCTTTACCATTCTGCTGGCGTATTTCTTCCACAAGCAGTACAAGCGGATGATCATGTCCCGCGCCAGCCACGCCGCACGCAACGACGGCCAGAGTCTCGAGGAGGGGCCGGCACCCGAACAGCATGACATCGGCGAAAATGGAGCTAGGGAGCCGAGCTTCACGACAACGGAGCCCGCCAGGCAGCCCCACGTCTACTGAAGACGTTGGAGTGTACGAAGACTCGTATACACATGCGCACTGTGTATTCGCTACTCTTGTCTGATCGGCTGCACCGGAGTTTTTCGCCTTTTGCACGCGCGTTGACTTGACACACCTGCCATCCGTCCTGCATGCCTTAAGCGCTTGAGGTTTTGTCACGGCTAATGAGGTGGTGAAGTCAGAAGAGGCCAGGACCGGGGCAGGGGCAGGTGAGTGACGCATGCATGTGCTCCGTGCAGACCTACCTGTGTGTGTGTGTTGGGGTGTGTGTGTGTGTGTGTGACTTTTGTCGGTTTTGTCTTTATCTGTAGACTACCGTATGTTCAATTCAATGAGATCATGTTGCACATCCATCCATCCATCCATTCACCCATCCATCGACTACCTCGGCCGCGCCACCACCCTCACCCTCACCCTCACTCGTCCTCGCTCGCCCATGCACACACAGGCACACACACATCGCTGCTACCTATCTGTGGGCGTCCCGCTGTCCATCCATCCATCTGTCTAGCTGGCAGACTACGCGGCCTTGCCTTGGGCCTCTGCCGGCGGCGATGTCTGCGCCGGCTCGGCCACCGACGATGCACCTGATGTGCCGATCTCGATGCGACGCTTCTTAACTTGCAAGGGCCCTTCGCCGATCTCCCTGGAACGACACAAAAAGCGGCAATACACAGCGAGCAGACGAGCGTTGTTGATGAGGTTTGTGTCTCTGTCTGGCATCTCACTTGGCCTGTGCTACGATGACGGTCTCTTTGGTGTGGTCCAGCTGGGGGGCGCCGAACGAAGCATCCATCTGAGAAACAGACACGGGGAAATGGGACTGCTCGCCTGCCTATCCACCTCTCTCCCTCACCCGTGCGAGTGCGTTGCCGAGTTTGCTGGCCTCTGTGATGACTTTGGCGCGCACCTCAGCCGTCATGACGTCACCCGAGCCCTCCTCCTCGCCCAAAGACTCCTCAGCCTTGGCGCCCGCCTGCACTCAGCAAATGGATGGATGAGACACGATGGATGGGAGGAATGGATGCGCTGCTTACTTGGATGAGGGCACGGTAGCGCTCCAGCTGCATGAATGGTGCATTCATGGCCGAGGTTAAGAGGGCACGTACACGGGGGCGCTTTGCGGGTGTGTGGTTGTGTGCACTCACTGACCTTGGTGTCTATCTCCTCTAGGTTCTCCTTGCGCGCAGCCTGCTCCTCAGCTGCACACCACACCAACACCAAGACACACATTAGACAGAGAAGGCATGGGACGGCAGGCCTGTCTGTCTGTCTGTCTGTCTGTATTACCGTCTAGTGTGACGCCATCGACATTGCTGAGGGCCTTCTCTATGTGCTCCTTCGCCAACTGACATCAAACCGCACACAGAGAACATACGTGGTGCAACAAGTCGCGTGTTTTTTGTGGGATGCATGACCTCGAACGCTTTGATGACGTTTGCGTTGTCCTTCAGGTGCTCGTAGGCGTGGGCAGCCTCCATGCAACTGTACAAAAAACATCCACACAACACAACACACACACTCACAGATGTGTCTTCTCTCTCTGTCCTTGTCTGTGGGGGTATCTCTTACTTGTTGATGAGTTCGTGGTACGACAGTTTGTGCTCCAGGGCGGTCTTCATGCCGGCGTCGTACTCCTGCACACGCCACGCACACCACAACCATACACACCCGTTCCAGACATGTGTGTGTGTATGCGTACCTGCACCGCCTGCTCAAAACGCTTTTGGATGGTCAGAAGGTCGCCCAGCCTGACAGACAGACAGACAGACAGACAGACTGGGGCGCATGTCGGCATGCATGCCGTTCATGGGAGGTCTTTGTGCCCTCGACTGACTGTCTGTGTACACGCAGTACCGACCGTGTTTTGGCGAAGAGGATGGCTTTGACGTCGCCCATGTCCACCTGCTCGCCCTCCTTCTGCTGCCTGCAGAATAAGAAATGTACACATGGATGAGTCCAAGCCAGCGAACGACCCCGTGAGCGCCTGCGCACTTGTCTATCTTGTCACGGTAGCACTTCCACCCCAACTCCAACGTGTCCCACGCCAACTGCATGACATACATACATACACACACAAAACATGTGAACGTGCGTGCACGGGTGAGCGCATCTACGTAAATTCCTCCACGTACCGCCATGTCCTCCTCTGTATCGCCCTGCATCTCTTCGTCACCATCGTCACCATTCTCGCCGCTACCCTCACCCCCCTTGGCCCCCTCTTCATCCCCAGCCTTGACTACCTCCTCCCCTGCCCCCTTCTCCTTCTCCTTGGTCTCGCCGCCCGTCACCTCAGGGTCCTTGGTCTTGTTCTGCTCGGCCCCGCCATTGCCGTTGGTGGCGGTGGCAGTCTCGGGTTTCTTGTCCTCCTTCTCCCTCTCATTATTGTCCTTCATGTCCTCATCCTCGTCATCTTCCTGGTCGTCGCCATCCCCGCCGCCGCCACACATGACGTCGATGAGGGGCTGCATGGTGTTGCGCATCAGATCCGCCTCCGAGTTCTCCAACAGGAAGTCGCTGACACACACACATACAAACGATAAGATGGTGTGGGGCGGTGGATCTCTGTGTCTGTGTGTGTTGTGTGTACCCGTAGTTGAGGTAGTAGGATGCGAGGTCGGGGTGGAGGCCGTTGGCGTCCTTGTGCTCCTCAGTCCTGCAGGCCATCAACACACAGATCAAGGAAAGCCGTGCAGCTAAGCCGTGCTTGCCGACCTGCGCGTGTCTGTGTGTGTACTTGATGGCGAGTGCCTTGGACAGGAACGCTGTGGCCTTCTGAATGTTGTCCGCCCGCAGCTCCATGGCCTTCTCCGTCAACAACTTGGCTACCACATCCGGACCTGACATCCATCATTTGGCCATCACAGCCCAGCAGCACAGATCTCCGTCAGATCCCCCCACTCCCTGGCTGCCTCTTACCTTTCTCCTTGACCATATCGTCATACATGGCTATCTCTGCGGCCTGCTCGTCCTCTTCGTCCTCCTCCTCCTCGCCCTCCTCCTGACCGCCCTCGCCCTCCTTTGCTATCTCCATTTTCGCATCCTCCGCCGCCTCCTGGGCCTGCTGCGCAGCCGTACCCGCGTCCTTCTCACCAGCAGAAGGCTCACTCATGGCGGCAGCAAAAGTGATCTCCAATTGGACCAGTGTCTACGCTTGTAAACTGAAGTAAAACTGAAGATTCGTTGACCGCGAACTTGATGGAGGATGGAGGCTAGGATGGAGGGGAAGGGGGAGAGTAGGACGGAGAATGTCCGAGTATGGTAAGCGACTGCACAGAACCTTGACAGAGCCTGTGCCTCCAAGGCCGACATTGTTGCTTTCTCATGTAGTGCGAGGATTCGCCCGGTGCGTCCAGGTAAGGAGAGCAGCGACAAGTGTGTCGAGATCCCTGACCACCAGTCCCCAGCTGGTGATCAGGCTGCTGGGGCCGCAGCGGCAGCAGCTTCTTCCAGCAGCGCGGCTGCAGTAGCCAAGAGGGATGGCGATGCACGGCAGCTGCTGTTCAAAGACCCCAGGCACCGTGGGCAGGCAAAACTGTACACGTAAGATCATCAAGATGCTCTATTCTACCCCACGAAGGCGTGTGTGTATGTGTCTAGGTTGGACGCTGTGTATGGTGAGGATGTGTCTACGAGAGCCATCTTCGAGAAGGAGTTCCAGCCGTGCATCGCCGACCTCTTCCAGGGCATCTCCACCACCATCTTCGCACACGGGGCGTCGGGCTCCGGCAAGACCCACACCATGCACGGCACAGTCGATGGGCAGCCTGGTGTGGCGCAGATGTGTGTGGAGGAGTTGCTGAGCGTGAGGGAGAGGGAGGGGGCGAGCGTGCGGCTGCTCTTGTCGTTCTTTGAAATCTACAAAGAGAAGATACAGGACCTCATGCAGGTAGGTATCTGAGGAGCTGGGGAATGTGTGTGTCGTGTGTGTCCATGGAATGGTGCGCTGTTGTTTGCATGTGTTCATGGCATATGCAGGAGGGTGAGACGGCGTTGAGCATGCTGCAGGGAGGGGATGGGCGCGTTGTTATCAAGGGCCTCACCGAGAGCCCCTTCGATGACATCCACTCCTTCGACACAGCATACAGAAGGTACTACACCACATTGAAAGTCCTCGTCTGCTTGAGTGTGTGTCTGTCGGTGTCCGCAGGGCGTTGGGCAGGCGCATAGTCGGCAAAACTAGCCTCAATGAGGGTGCAGAGATGGCGAAATACCGGCCATGGATCGTTCCCTTCCCTCTTGTGTGGTGCATGCAGGTTCGAGTCGCAGCCATGCGTGTGTGCAGGTGAAGGTTGAGCGGCTCGACAGACAGCAGCAGATGAAGCGCGGACCCAAAGGTGCCTTACACCGAATGCACGTACCCACACAAAACGATGTATGGGTCTGTCTGGGGATGCGACGTGGACATGCAGGTGCGTCGCTGATGACGTCTCACGACTTCAGCGCCCCTTTGACGGGAAAGCTGAGTCTCGTTGACCTGTCCGGCTCAGAGGACAACCGACAGACAGATAACACAGGTATGTGGGTGAGCAAAAGGCAGCTGCAGGGAGACCCACACTGCGACCGAATACCCATCAGGCGAGCGCATGGTGGAGTCTAACTTCATCAACACGTCGCTGTTCGCTCTCGGTGAGTGAACACACACACATACACACGGACACACAAAGAGAATATGGCCGACGCGTGTGTGCCATGTGTGTCTGATGGTGCAGGCAAAGTGATCGATGCGTTGAAGAAGGGTCTGCGTCGCGTGCCCTACCGCGAGTCCAAGCTTACCCGACTCCTCGAGGACTGCCTGGGCGGCCGCAACCACGCCACCATGATCTGCACGGTATGTAGCCATCACGAATCACACATCGCTCAGTGGACGTATAGTTGCCTGGCCTCTATGTGTGTGCGTGTCTCCGTGCAGCTGAGCCCGTCCATCACGCACCACCAGGCCACATACAACACACTCAAACTCTCCACCGAATGCATGTATGTCTACCCCACACTCACGCATCACACGCTTCTCCACACTTATTTTTTCATGTGGCATTTCTCAGGTCGGTTCAGAACACGGTGGTCAGCGAGCCATCCGAAGCCGTCCCGGCCCAGCCCCCCGTCGATCGCAGGAAGCGCCCCCAGCTGGACAACAACCCTCCCCCGCAGGTCGACAAGAAGAAGCCTTCCAAGAAGCGCGCCCCGCAGCCGTCCATGGCACCCGCCGCCCCACCCACACCGCCCAAACGCCAGCGGCTCGACCCACAGCAGCAGCAGCAGCAACAACAGCAAGAGCAGCAGAAACAGAAGAGGAGGGAGCAGAAGCAGCGAGAACGGCGCATGTCTCGGATACCCATGCCATCCATGTCTCGCCGGGCATCGCGTCATGTCGAGAGGGGCTTCGTGGCGCCTGGGGGTTTTGGCTGTGGAGCGGGGCGTGCTGGGGATGTTGGGGAGTTGGAGGCTGCAGAGGCTGATGAGGGTGCGGCTGGGTAAGAGCAGGAAGAGAGTGTGCTGTGTGTGCATTTCTCGGTTGGTTTCTCGTGTGGGTATGCCACCAGTTGGAATGTAGACCAGGGCAATCGCAACGAGGAGGGCGGTGCTGTGGCGGCTGCTGCTGCAGCTGGTCCAGCCACGGCGATCCGTCTGGTGCGTGAAGATGAGCCCATGCAGCCGTCACCACCCAACCGTCCCCCACTGGACGAGGACGCAGAGGTATGCACACACCCAAGAATCATGGCTGCCACGGTATAATGCGGCGTCTGGCCATCCGTCCATCAGGACTGTGTAGCTGAGGCGATGGAGGCCGAGAAGCGCGGCGACCTGCAGGCTGCCGTCAAACACCTCAAACAAGGTAGGTCAGGCTGACCAATCGAAAGATAGATACGATCCAAATGGGTGTGGTGTGGGTGTGTTGCAGCCCTTCAGATCGGCGGGCCGAGGCTGGCGAAGAAGCGCTTGACCATCCGTCGTCACATCGCCAAGCTGGGGGCCAACCACACACAGGATGGAGACGAACCTCAACAACGGGAAGAAGGACGACACCCACACGCCGCGGCACCTGCCGCCGCTGCTGCTGCTGCTGCTGCTGCTGCCGCGCCCCGCTGTCCGCCCCCTGTCGATGCTCCTGAAGACATCGCAGGCCTGCCAGCCCCCATGGACATCGATATTGACCGACCCGCCATGATGCCCAGGCAGCCCCGGAAGAAGCGGCTGCAGCAGCTCGGCGAACCCATCATGCCCTCCCGCATCCCCAGGAGACGCAAGACGCCCAAGCCCGTCCCGCAGCCTCGCGACCCCTCACCGCCACCAGCAGCACCAGAGGATGAAGGCGAGGAGGACCCTCCGACGGTCATTCGGCTGTCACGGGGACCCAACATGAGCATGGAGCGGATGAAGAAGCGAATGGACAACAACCGGCGGCAGCAGCAGATGAGGGGACGGGTGGGTGTGGATGCGGAAGAGGGTGACGCAGAGGAGTCCAGGAGGGTTCTCAAGCTGTCGGGCAAGGGCAAGCGGCGGGTCGTGAGGAAGAAGTACCCTCGGGGGGCGGCCGCCGCGATTGCTGACCACCAGCAGCAGGATTATCGTGTTGATGGGGGCAGGGCAGGCGAGAAGGGGGAGCGGGAGGACGGGGGTGAGGGCGGTGGTGATAGGGAGCCGTCAGAGTGCAGCAGCGTCGTGGCCATGGACCTAGACAATGCCGCTAGGGTATGCATGCGCACTTTTACCCACCGAACCACCCAGGCGCAGGTGTTGATGTGTGCAGGCCAGGTTGGAGTCCAGGTTGCTGGAGATGATCAACACAGCATCTCACAAGGAACTCAAGTCAGATGGAGACACACTTAGACGGCGACATGATAGCCGCGTGTGTGTGTGTGTTTGTGTGTGTGGATACAGGTCGTTGAAGCGCGTTGGTGACAAGGCTGCCGACGCCATTATAGCATACCGGTCATGCAACAACCCACTCAAATCGGTACATGCCTATGTGGGCAAAGAGAGATCTACAACTTCCATGACCAGAAAATGGAATATTATGCATGTTGTCGGCTGTGTGTGGTTGGGCGGGCACGGTGCAGCTGGATGAGTTGCCATTGATCGGCATCAATCGGTTCAACTGCAACAAGTTCATAGCTGACAATCTCAAGGACATGGCCAGCAAAGGCATGCACCACCATGCCTCTGGCACTGGCGGTGTGGACTGATACAAATGGATGAATGGAGGAAGGGATCGATGGATAGACACCAATATACATACGTTCGTTGCGTGTATGGGACATCCCTGAGACAATTTCTCTGTGCGGGGGGAGACACATGGGTTCGCACGTAACACTGAATCGTCCGTCGGTCGTCATTGTCACTTCATTGGGCAAATCACACACCAACAAGCATGTGTACTCACCCCCCTTCCTCCTCACCCACCCACCACATTGACAGAGAGGCCGTCTCTGCCTGTCTGTCTGTCTGTCTCTATCGTGTGGTCATCCAGCCCCTCGACGGCAGTGGTGGCATATCATCCCCCACGTCGCTCCCTTCGCCCATCCCCACACCCACAGCCTTGAGCATCAGCTGCTGGGTCGCCGCAGCTCGGTTGGGCGTGTCAAGTATGGGTGTCCGCCTCTCCCTGTGGATCTTGCCCACCACCTGTGTCGACCAGTCTTTGCTTTTCCTCTCCTTCCTCTGCTCCCTAGTTGACGCCAGATAGCTCGCTGATTCATCGTGCTGCCGTGGCTGGCGGCGAATGATGTGTGCGAGGGTCTCGGGGTGCTGTCTGCGCTTTATGGCCAGGTGGAGGCATGCCCGTGGGGTGGTGTGGGTGCTGGCCTGGATGTCGTGGATCAGACGCTCGGCACGCTCACGCTCAGCCAGATTGAAACGGGCCTAAATTGAAGGAGAGAGAGAGACACAAAATACCCACAGATACTCATCCTCTGTGCTCTTTTTCCCGACCGTTTGCGCAAGGAACTGTCTCCTTTCGGCTCGCCTTTCCGCTGCCGACTTGTGCGGTGTGCCAGCATCTTGCTGCTGTGGTTTGGCAGAGAGGTTGAATATGTCGGCCCTGGTGTCTGCCTCGAGGATGATGCAGTTGTGTGGGGGCGGCGGGTGGATGAACAGCGTCTGATGCGGCAGCGCGGACCGGCGACGCGCGTCCCGTATCTTCAAACATCACAACCAACACAAACAAGAGACAGGAAATGCGAGCTGACCTGGTGTGCATTCTGTGCATACTTACCACAGCCCTTCTGGACTGCAGAACGGGCGGGTGTTTCAGCAGCTCCTCCCAGTCGGTGTGGGCCACGCTCGCAGCCCTGCTCTCACGATGGGCCGATGAGGACTTCTCCTCCTCCTCCTCCGCCTCCGCACCGAAGCGCAGCTGCCTCGCCTGCCCAGCCGTGGGAGGCACCGACTCTTCCTTCTCTTTGTCGGATGGTTCCTGCTCTTGCTGTGGCAGTGCTGTGCCGGGGGGTGGCGGTGAGGGGACAGATGGGGACGATCGGGTGGCAGGGGACGACGCATAAGATGGCGGAGCACCTGGGAGGGAGGCGCATGCATGCTTTCGTGGGTCTTTTGTCATGGGCTGCTTCCTTACCGATTCTGAGTGAAAACTCTGTGGATGCCATCGAGACGCTCTCCGTGTCGGCCCAGTCTATCATCATTCGGTCCCACGGAGCAGACTCCAAAAAGTCCCGCTTGCTCGTCCTTGATGTCGCCCTCGAGGCCACCCGGGGCATCTTGACGTGCAGCCGACTGCTCGACGACAAAGCCAACGCGCGGAGGTGCGAGCGGTCTGGGCGGTGGCCGCCCTTCTCAGAGACTGGATGCGCGCGGCCCTCATAATGGACGCTCCGACGCTTCGGGGGCTGTAGAATGGTAGGGATGGAGAAAGAGATATACATGGATTGCCAAGAAGGATGTTCTGTCCGATTGATGGGTACCGGTTTGTCGGTCTCCTCTTCTCCCACGAGCAGCCGTGCCTCCCTGAATAGCGCCGACTGTCTTTCAGCGCTCTCGTCCAGCGGGTCGAAGTCCTCCAGCGCACTCTCACTCAGCAGCTCGGCCAGCCTCCCCGCATCCCCCCGGCCGCGCTTGCCCAGCAACTCCTCCTCGATGTCCTCAGCCAGTGGCAGCATCCTCACAGGCTCACCGATGCCATTGCCCCCGCCCTCATCGTCAATGTCCATTCGGTCAACCTGCACCATGGCTTTGCCGTATCTGACTTCTGCAATGTCTTCTGGGTCCTCTGTGGCCTGGCTGCTGCCGGGGCCACCCTGGTCCCCTGATGACGTGTGGTGGGAGTTGGATGAACGCCGGTTGGGGGTCGGCCGCGATGAGACATCCCCGGCACTGCGAGACACACCGCGGGTGAGTGCCTTGTTGCGGCCTATGCGTGGGAGGTAGTCAACACAACACAGAGGGAATAACGCGTTTGTGGTGAGCAGGGCCTGCCTCATCCGACGTACCTTGTGGTGAGTTGATGCGCGACCGGCTGCGTGCCATTGAATGCCTGCTCGCCGGCATCGCACTGGGAGGCACCGGGGAGTTGCCGCTCCCTGCAGGCATGTTGGCCAGCTGCATCAGGTGCAGCTGGCTTTCCAACATGCCGATGACGCTGTTCTGCCGGACGGCCATGGGCGTCCCCTCACTCGACGGCCGCTGCTGCTGTGGCATGTCCCTCGAGGGCGGGATGGGGCTCACGGAGGGAGGAGGTGGGGTGGATGGCCGTCTTAAGGCGGGGCTTGTGTCGAACTCCTCGTCCAGGAGGGCCTGCTGCAGCAGAAGCTCGTCTGCCTCGACGCCACGCAGCGTGGAGAAGGCGCCCGGTGCCATTTTGAGGCGTCGGAGGTTGTAGCGGCACTTCTCGATGATGCTCTCGGTGGCCATTTCGCGAAATGACGGACCGTCCAGGGCGTTCACCACCCTGAGTGACCGGATACCCAGTGAGGTACGAGAAGGGTGTGTCTCTGGCGACGGATCGGTCAAGTTGCCGTCTCACTTTTTGTTGAATCCAAATACGAGGTGAGCCATGCGGTCGGCCTTGTCCGAGAGCACACGGATGTGCTGCAGCGTCTTGAGCGCCTCATCCTGGTGCGATGGCCGGTTGCAGTCGAGAGCTTCACTGACAATACATACAGCAAAGATGGCACATGACGTCCATCCATTTAAGATGTACACACACATTCTCTCCTCATTCCACCCTACCGCAGCAGCTGCTGCACGAACCCGGCCTCCACCAGCTTCTCTGTGAGCGACCTCGACCGCGCCGCTAGAAGCCCCAGCAGCAGCCCACGCATCAGATGAGAGACGTCCTCAATGCGGGTTTTTGCCTTGCTGAGCATCAACGGCTGCTTGTCCTTCGCCTGCAGCTGGTCCCTCGTCACCTTCTGATCCGTAGCAGTGCCAAGCCGCCTCAACAGGCGGTTGCCTCCGGCCTCCTCGCTTTGTCTTCTCTCCCCCACACCAATCTTCGGCGATCCGCCCATCAGCTTGGCTTTGCTGCCAACGCTCAGACGCTGCTGAGAGTCCATGTCTGGTGTCATCGCAATCGGCGCCTCCCCCTTGGCCATGGCCTGCACGTGGTCCGGTGGCAGCTTGTCAGATAGGAGGAGGTTGGACAGCCGCCGCATGGTCTGCTGCCCCGCGAGTGCTGCTGCCGTCTTGGCCCTCTTGTTCCTCCGGCCAGCGAGGTGTGGTGGCGGCGGGGTGGTTGGCGGGACAAGTGACAGGGCCAGGGGGGGATGTGGCTCGCTCTGGATGGCCTGCTTGAGGACGCTGTGACGGGCGAGTTGGAGCTGGGAAACAATGCCCAGGGGAGAGAGGGAGAGTTAGTGGACAGAGAGGGGAGAGAGATGAGCTAGCAAATGTCATGTTTTACTGCTTTTTCTTCTTCGAGTCTGTCTTTGAGGGCTCTGATTTCGATCGCTGTGTTGATGTCTCCCTGCCTGCAGTAGATCGACAGCAACGAAAAAGAACAGACACACAACACATGCAGACATGGCTGGTCCGCAGTCGGTGCCAGTGTGCTCCACCCTTCCAGATCGCCGATCTGCCTGAGAGCGAAAGCATGAAGGCGTTCGTCGCATCGGAGGCGAGTGACCATGGTCTCCAGTAGAGTGAGAGCCTCAGCCATGCACCGAATGTCACCACGCTGCAGATTCCCACACACAGAGACGGACAATCAGCTCAGTGCCATTGTGTCTCCTTTCTGTCTCTTTCTCTCTCACCTCCAAGAAGACTACCGTCCTTTCGATGATCCTTTCCTGCCAATATCCATCCATGAAGACCTCTCCCCTCCCCCTTTCGCCGCTCTCCTCCACCAGCACGGTGACGCTCTGCATGGCCATCCGCACCCTGGCTGATGAGAACGCGCCGCTCGTGGGTGCCTTTCTGTTGGTCCGCGGTGGCTCCATCAGACGCAGCACGGTCTCCAGGACACGCGGCTGGTGGACGGGGTTGTTGCGAAACAGCGTGCAGAGTAGCTTGCCGATCATTACGATCGGCTCCCACCTGAGCACGTCCCTGCCGCACTCAAGCACCTTCGGCAGCACGTCACACCCCCCATGGCCGCCGCACAGCCGCTCCTTGGCCCCTTTTCCCCCACAGGCCACCCGATGCAGCACCCACAGAGCGAAGAACCGGTCCTCATCGCTGGCGTCATAGTCCAACCCTAGCATCTGTGCCAGCAACACAACTGCACCCGTCGTGAACAAGGCCTCGTGAATGACGCTTTGGCCCCCGCCTCCCCGCAGCAACGTCATCAGGGCCCTCAACTGCACCCCAAGCGCGAATCCCCGGACGAGTGACAGCTGCAGCCAGGACACGAGCTTCAGAGCAAAGGGCAGCAGCGAGGGGCCGAATGCACGGCCGTCATCGAGGGCGAGATACGGCGGCAGGTAGCAGATGACATAGTCGCAGAAGGTGAGCAGAAGCTCCACGCGCCTCTCCCAGGAAGCATCGGCGAATTCCTTTTGTGTTTTGGCGAGCCAGTTGGTGTGGGAAGGGGGGAGGTGAGGGTGCTTCGATTCGCAGGGAGGGGCGGTGTCGTTGTACAGCGGCAGGGCCAGTTGTGTGGACGAGGGGGTGAAGAGGCGGACGCTCCCCATAGTCTTTTGTCTTCTCTTTCCCTGCATTTCGTTGACGTTCACGCAGAACACTCGGCAGCACGGTGACCGGCCTTCTTTGCACTGGGGAAACAATCTCGGCTTGCGCGCTTAGCAAGCAGATCTGAGCTTGCGCTTTCGAAAAGGGCGTTTGATTCATCCATTTCCACAGATCCCGAGCGCGGCATCAGCACTCTATCCGATGGCTCAGCAAGCATCCCCCCGGCCGTCCGCTCTCCTCGACCTGCCGCCGCCCAACACTGCCTCTGCCCTTATTCATGAGAGCGAGGTCGTCAGCAGCGACGTCGAGTCGCCATTGGGCCAGCACAAGGTGTTTCTCATCGGCGTGACGGGCGGCACGGCCAGCGGCAAGACGTCCGTGTGCAACCGAATCATCACCGAGCTGGGCGACCAGAAGGTGGAGATCCTCTCGCAGGATTCGTTCTACAAGGGCCTGGGGCCGGGCCAGGACGCGTCAGAGTACAACTTCGACCACCCTGATGCGTTCGACTACGACCTCTTCCACGCGTGCCTCAAGAAGATCACACAGGGGGAGCTGGTGGAGATCCCCATGTACTCGTTCAAGACGCACTCGCGGTCGAGTCACGTGCGGCGGCTGGTGCCGTCGCCAGTGGTCATCACCGAGGGCATTCTGGTGTTTTATGACGAGCGAGTTCGCCGGCTGCTCAACGTGAGATGGCACCCACCGTGGGGAAAGAGATTGCCGCTAGAGTAGAAGTGCGTGTCTGTGCGTGTCTGTTATGCAGATGAAGATATTCGTAGACACCGATGCGGATGTGCGGCTGCTGAGGCGGATGAAACGGGACATTGCCGAGAGGGGCAGATCGTACGAGAGCGTCCTCTATCAGTACGAGCGGTTTGTCAAGCCGTCTTATGGTACGCTGGCACACACGCACACGCGCGTGTCCTGGGTGGATGGATGGACGTTGTGTGTGTGTGTGTGTTCCTTCAGACGAGTTCATAGCGCCGACCAAGAAGTATGCGGACATCATCATCCCCAAGTGGCCCAACGAGGTGGCCGTGGACCTCATGGCACAGCACATACGCAGCAAGCTGCACATCAACGACGTCAGGAAGATATACACGTCGCTCAAAGTCCTGCCATCCAACTCACAGGTAACCACGCGCATCTGGTGATAGACAGATAAGTTCATCCGTCTGTGTGTGATGTGATGCATTGATGCAGGTGCGTCAGCTGCACACGATTATCCGCAACCGTCGGTGCCGCCGCACCGACTTCGTCTTCTACGCTGACAGGATCATACGACTGGTATGTACACAATGACATCGCCACACATACAGCAGGGCATCTCTCGTCTGCGTATGTCGGTGTGCGGTGGCTGGCTGCAGGTGGTCGAGTATGCGTTGGGGATTCTGCCGTTCAAGGACAAGGTGGTCCGCACACCCACCGGCCAGGAGTACAGGGGCATCATGGGCGTCGAATTCCAAAACAAAGTACGTCCGCACAGACACATAACGAGATACGTGTACTTGTCTTAGTGCATGTTGTGTGGTTGCGCCGTTCATCCCCTTTCTCATTCAGTTGTGCGCGGTGTCGATAATCCGTGCTGGGGAGAGCATGGAGGCGGGGCTGACGGCCGTGTGCCACGACATACGGATAGGCAAGATACTGCTTCGTTTCAAAGGTAGGTACATCCATACCCGCAAACAGCACGGCGCTAATGATGCTTGTTGCCTCTCTCAGACACCGAGGACAGCGAGTGGAACTCGTCCAAGGACCGCAACCCAGACGTCATCTACCTCAAACTCCCGCAGGTACTTTAGGACGGACCTCTACCACACGCGCACACACCCCATCTCCACACGCTTCTCCTTTCCGTTATGCAGGATATCGAGGACCGTTATGTGTTGCTGCTGGACCCCGTGTTGGGTCGGGGCTGGTCGGTCATCGCGGCCACGAGGCTGCTCCTCGCCAGGGGCGTCCCCGAGCACAAAGTCATCTTTGTCAGCCTTATCGCGACCCCAGAGGGCATCCACAACGTGTACAGGTCTGTCTGTCGAGGACGGCCAGAGGATTCATGTGCCGCAGCCGACGGATGCGTGTGTGCGTGTTTGGTCTCTCTCGTTTTCCTGTAGGCATTTCCCTCAGATCCAGGTGGTGACGACCGAGATTGACCAGCGCATCGATGAGAATGTACGTTGACCACACAGACCGGCACCACACACGCAGATTCCTTTCTGTCTGTCTTGTTTGTCGTCAGGGTTACGCGTTGCCTGGTGTGGGCAACTTCGCCGACCGTTACTTCGGCACTGAGGAGGCGCAGGCCGAGTACATCGAGGGCGGTGTGGATGTGGCCAGGAGCATCTCAGAGGCCTCACAGTCGTCAGAGACCCTGCTGGCGAGCATGGGTGGCATGCCCATGAGGAGGCTGTCGATCAAGGGATGAGTTTTGACGATTGGATGGATGAATGGAAGCTATGAGGGCCTGGCGCTACAGTAGGATAGGATGTGGGTCATTTTGGTGTGTAGAAGTGAGGTGGGTGGGTGCATGTGTGGACGTGTGCATGCATTTGCTTGTACCATGGAAGGATGGTATCGCAGCGGACCAGCGATCAAAACAACCATTTAACACAAAGTGTCTTTCGATCCACTGCATCCCATCAGTCGGTCAGAAGTTCTCCACCCCCACTCTCCCCCATGTCAACTGAAGAAAACACCATCTCCGCCTCTGCACACACACGGGAGACACGCACCCACACTCACGCACACTAGAGCTACAGCCCCTCCCAACCCCGCCCCTCGTCTACCCCCACCGCCTGACCATCCGTGTGTTGGCCACGGGCGAGTAAAAGTAGTACCCCCTGCCACCCCCCTGGTGCATCTGGCGCGGGCGGTGCGTGTAGGACACCGTCTCCCTCACGGCTACCATCCCCACCCCCTCCCCGTCCTCCTCGGTCGGCACCGCAAACTGGGGGGCATACGACGACGCAGCAAACGTCAGCGGCACCGAAACGTGCTGGGGGGCCGTCTCGGTGATGAAGGTGCTGCCCTTGGCCATGCGGTGCTGGTTGATGTCCGCCTTGTCCCTGTTCTCTTCCTCCTGGTATGACGGGATGGATGAGGTCACCGAGCAGGCGTGGAGCGCCGGCAGGGCAGGCAGGGGCGGGCCCTCCTGCTGCTGCTGGTCCTCGGCGGCAGGCTGCTGCTGGAACTCCTCGCCGCCCTCCGGCTCCTTGTTGGGCTCCTCATCCACTACTGTGGCTCTCGTGGGCTGGCCGTACTGCACCGGCATCAGACTGGCGAAGGGAGCGGCCTGCGAATGGGGGCGGGGCTGCTGCATCACGTTGACTACTACGACATTGCTGCTGCTGCTATGGTTGTGGTCTTGGCTATGGCCGCTGCTGCCCGTGGATGTGGTGGCCGACGCCCGGCCCTTCTTGGTCGCACTGCTGGCTTGCCGAATGCTCAGGGCCGCGTTGAGGGGAGAGGATCCCTGGCAACCCTTTGCTGTTGCTGTCGCGTGTTCGCCGAAGAGGTGGACGGCGGCGGGGTGTGAGAGTGCGCCGTGGATGAGGATTGAGATGAACCACACAAACGTGCAGATGAGCTGCCCCACACCCACCAGCACCTCCCGGCCGTCCTTCATCCGCGGATCCTTCGAGAAGAAATTGCTCGAGGCTGCCGCGGCCAGCAGGACCCACACAAGGCAGTCGACGGCCGACGCCACGAGGAATGACCGGGTATATGGCTGGATGTAGGGCATGGAGCCGGCGAGGGCTGCGATGAGGCCGAGGACGCCGATGGCGTAGTTTCTGCCGCAGAAGCCGTACACGCAGAAGACTGCATACACGCCCACACACATAGAGGGATAGAGGGGGGAAAGGGAGATCATTCCATCCATCCATCCCTCCATCCATCCATTGACGTCGGTGCATCCGTACCTATGTGGGCGCCCATGAGAAAACCGTGCAGCTGCCATGAGAGGGCGAACTCCTTTCTGCGCGCAGCAGGAGGCTTGACGCCCTCTGTGGTCGCGTGTGCCAAACGCGCCACTTTTGCTCCCATGATCTCCCTTTGGCAAGGAACTGCACAAGTAAATTTCGCGATACATCTTTGCTCCCATCTCCTTCATCACCTTGCTTTTATACACGTGAGTTTGAGTCTACGCGGGCGTGCGTGCAAGTGTGGTGCGCACAACCGAACGAAAAAGGTGGAAAAGGGAATGAATGCAAACAGGAATGGGGAGGGGCGGGGCGGGGCGGCTGGCGCACCGACATAATTACAGACAGACAGACATGGACAAACGGACAGACGGCCAGCGGACAGACAGACAGACACACTGAAGAGACACGTGTAGACAGACAGCCACTACAGACACTTACGGACACCCAGCTAGTAGTTGAAGACCCATGTCATAACGGACCCTCTATACACAAATGAGCCCACCAGAAGCCAACCCAACCAATGGTCTTCACTCACTAAAGCCGCTCTGTGCCGTGTCGGGCACGCCTGCAGCCACGATGGCCATCTCCCCACTCATTCATTCAAAACACCTTCGGCCCGCCAGCCAAGCCAAGCCAAGCCAGCCATGGCGGCCGTCACGTACACACGCACGGATGCATGCATTGACGCTATGCCGTGCTGGCCTATACAGGAGCTACACACAGGCACCAAGTCATGCATCGCGCGAGCACGTCACAGCCGCCACAATGGATGGCACCAACCAACCGTGTCAACGTCTCCCTCCCCCTACCCCCTGGCCTACAGTATAAACACTCACCCGATCATCACTGTGGAGCCAAAACGGCCCTGCTACATCTATCCTCTGTTGCCGTATGCATGCACCCGGCTAGAGCCTGGTTGAGTAGATGATGGTGCCGACCAGCAGGCAGGTGAGGACGAACACCGACACCACGACCGCCACCACCACCTCGAAAGCCATGGCGTCCGTCTCGAGCTCGTTCGTCAAATTCATACCAAACGCACCCTGCACCACACACAAGCCACCACATTTCTTTCCGCTCTCTCTCTCTCTCTCTCTCTCCCTCCCCCTCTGTCTGAATGCGTGTGTGTCTCGCTCGTTCGTTTACCGTGATGACGGCCCCCATGGCGAGTCCGCCCGAGATGACTGTGGCGCTGGTGTCGACGAGCATGAGCCTGTTGCGGACAATGTCCAATCGGATGGTGATGAGGTACTCGATGTTGACGAGCTTCTCCTTCATCATCCGCGTCCGCTCTACCAACTCGTCGACCTCCTGGTCGAAATACTCGAGCAAGATGTCCAGGTCGCTGTTGGGAATCAGCCCCAGGCCGCTGACGGTGTGTTGCGCCGTGGACGACACGGCGGGGGGAGCGTAGGGGGGATACCCCGTCATGAAGGAGGACGCTCGCGCGGCCGCCACCCGATGCTGCTGCTGGGGCTGGCTGTCGACCGAGCCCGATCGCCTGTGTCGCTGCCTCAGGAGTGAGCGTCCGGTGCGCATGGGGGGCGAGGGGGTGGGCGACCTGCTGTTGGGGTCCTCCTGGGTGTCGCTGTGCACCCGCAGGTGGTTGCTGGATGAGGCCATCGATGCGGGTGTGTCTTCCCTGACGTTGTTCATGGGGTTGAGTAGAGTGAGGGAGCCCCAGTTCTGGTGGTCGAGGTGGTCGTAGTACTCGGGGTGCTCGTACAGCCGCGACAGCTCCATCTTGAGCAGGTCAGTCGGCTCCTCCATCAACTCGGCTATCGAACGGTGAAAACCCTGGATACACGCACAACACACAGCGAGGTACATATTGGGGTGGGGTGGGGTGACGGGCGTCTGTCTTATGTGTCCCTGCTTGCCTGTATCTTTGATTCGAGTACAGCGGTGGGCGCCTTAAGCCTGTGGAGGGCTTCGAGGTCGCGTGTGGTGGGGTTCTGCCGCTCAAGCTTGAGCGACAGCGCCTCAATGGCCTCCTCGACAGGCGTCAACTCCTCACCTGCGCACCGCACACACACATTCATGCACCAATCGTCTCTCCCTGTCCTGTGTGCACGTCGCTGACGTACCCACGGCCTCGATAGCAGTGGCGAGGACCACCTCGAGCGCCGAGAACTCGAACGGCACCCTCCTGGTCTTGCGGCCCTCGGACAGCTGTGTGAGCCGCTGGATGAGCCCCTCGCTCTGTGTGAGTTCCTCTGCCATGAGGAGCAGCACGGCGTCGTGCAGGATGATGGCGGTGACGGGGGGAAAGCAGATGAGGATGCAGTGCCGACGCACCTCCACGGACGGCAGCTGCTTCAGCTCAGCGAACACCTGACATGGCACACACACACAGAGCAGGTCAGGGTTGCTGGAGGCAATTCTTGTGCCTGTATGTATGTATGTATGTATGTGTGTCAGTCACCTGTCTGACGTCGCGGTATGTGAGGCATCCGGAGAGCTCCTCGACCAGGCCGGCCTTGTTGTGTGAGAGGACGTGCCTGACCACCTCGGCGGCCTGCCACTCGCGGATCCTGTGGCGGCCCGCTGTGATCTCGATGACCACGTGCTTGCGCACCTTGCGGCTCCTCTTGCCCATCACCATGTAGTGCGGCAGGTAGCTGCCACACAGACACACACACAGACACATGTAGAATGGTACGCACCTTTGTGTCCTCTGCACACTGCCGTTGGTTCACATGCAGTGCACCTGACCTGATGTTGTTCTGCGAAAAGGCCTTGGACGGCGATAAGGCCTTGTCGCTTATTTCGCTCGGCGAAGAGGCCCGGCTCCTCCCTGCTATCCCCATGAGGCCGTTTGTCATCTTCCGCTCGGACCTCTTGGCCGCCGCGCCCTCCCTCTCGCCGCTGCCGCCATTGAGCTCTGGCGGATCTCTGTCTGCGGTGCCGGACTGCTGCTGCTGCTGGTGAGATGTGCTGACTGTCACCTCCTCTGGAAGCAGGCCATCTTCAGGCAGATGGCTCTGCTTGTCGTTCTGGTGGGACATGCTGATACATATGCCGCTGCAAAAACGCTGAGCAGCGCCCTGGTTTTGAACCCTTCTGGCTTAGCTCGCAGACCAAGCTCGCATTTCGAGCCGACAGGAAACCGCTCTCTCTCTGAGCCGACAGGAAAAGATCGGTTATTTCCCGACGTTCGCACGAGCATTCGGCGTCCTCAAGTGCTGTGAGGGCGTATCTATCCGAATCTATCTGGCTGACGTAAGATGGGGAAGCTCGAAGATCTCTTCAAGAAGAAGAAGAAAGGCACCAAGATCACCAACCTCAACCAGGCTGACCCCAACCTCCTCGAAGCCAAGGGCGAGATCGCACCAGCGGACGCCACAACAACGGGCGAAGAGGGCGCACCTGCCCCCGCACCCGCCGCCAAGGACGACAAGCCTGTCAAGAAGGAGGAGGAGGCGGCCAAGGACGAGTGGGACGATGACGAGACAGCCCCGGTGGCCAACGAGGAGCTGGCGGCCAAGATGAGCGACGCTCACATCAAGGACATCAAGCTCTCGGACGCACCGGAGATCTCGATATGGGAGCTGCAGGCGCAGCAGAAGGCCGAGGAGGAGGCCAAGGCCGCCGCGGCCAAGCAGGAGGAGGAAGACAAGAAAAAGGCCGAGGAGGAGCAGGAGAAACACAAGACAGATCAGCAGGAGGAGGAGCCTGCCGCCGCGAGCGAGCCTCCTCCACCCCCAGCACCGGCCAAGTACACGGCACCGGGTATGCGTCGGATTCAGCGTGAGAAGGAGAAGGGCCCGCCCAAGCCAGAGGAGTGGGGGCCATCACTGTCCACCCTCTTGGAGCAGCAGAGGGAGGAGTCAGCGGCTCGGGCGGAGAAGGAGCCGACCGCCAGCAAGCCCAAGAAGCCCACCGAGCCCAAGGAGAAGAAGGTTCGCGAGCGGATCAAGCTTGACCTGGGTGAGGACTCGCCCAAGGGCCCGACGATCAAGGTGCTGGGTGTGGGAGGGGGGGATGCCGGGCAGGATCAGGGTGGGGTGCGGCGGATCATGATGGACGACCAGGCCAGCAGGGACAAGTTCAAGGGCAGGTGCAAGAGACCCAAGAAGGAGCTGCCTGAGGCTGAAATGAGGGACGACTGATTGATCGTGGGTGTGGGATGCGTGGATGAGTGATCTGCAGGGGCTGTATAGAGATGAATGCTGGAGGGGAGAGGGATGGGGGGTCGTGACTCGTTGGTTGAGGGCGCGTGAGCGGATCACGTCTGCGTGTGTTCTTCTTGTTTTGCCGATCTGCCTCATTTTATCACTTTTGAGTGAGCATCCCAAATTGACCGCTGCATGTCCCTGTGAGTGCCGCTCTTCATTCACTGTCAAGGGACTCTGACAGTGTGCGTCCGTGTTTGTGTGCGTGGACCTCATCAACCAGGTCAGGTTTTCAATACACATATATTCTTTATTTCTTCCGCAAGAACACGAAGTCGCGTCCATGAATCGTTCCTGACAGTCTGCGGAAGCATGCACATCAGATCGAGCTGTACAGTCAGTCACTTAGCCACAACAGACAGCCTCCCGCACTCTCACAACCATCGCTGTTATCACTTGAGTACGTGTAGTTTGCCGTCGATGCCCCATGTGGCCACCAGGTTGTGCAGGGGGTGCGCTATCAAACCGATGACGTCCTTCTCGTGGACCTACAACACACACAGAGACACACAAGCACGTGGCCTGTTCCTCATCCATTCATTTAGCGAGTAGTAAGTCACCTTGGCGAGGTGTTCGAGCTTCCCAGTTGAGTTGGAGAAGCAGTAGAGGGTGTTGTCCTCGCCACAGCAGTACAGCCACTCGCCCTTACGAGACGCTGCATACACACACACAGGGGCAACCGACAAACACAGACGTCCCCTCTTGATGGGTCTGGCAGGCTGTGTGTGATCAGTGACCGACTGACCTGCTGCACAGACGAAGTCGCCGCCCTCCTTCTTGCCTGAAATCCAATGGGGAGAGCAATAAATGTGTGTACGAGTGTGTGCGCACACGCCACGGCACCTACCTGATGAGAGTGTCTTGAGTACTTGTCCCGTGAGGTTCATCAGGTGCAGGGTGGGCGCCCTCGTGCACACGTATATCAGATCCTGCGACTGCACACACACAGACATCCGTGCGTGAATGGCAGTGCCGGTGTGCGTGTTAGGTCGTTTGTTACCTTTGGCGCGAGGAAGACGGCGTTGATTTGCGGCGAGGCGTTCTCTGTGTTGAGGTGGGACGGGGGAGGGGGGGCGAAAGTCTGCAGACAGTCGGTCGTCTTGGCATCCCACACCTATACACAACACACATGGCAAACGAGCGATTGGGTGCAAATTTCTGGCGCACAAACATGGATGCATTCCCACCTTGACGCGTCCGTCGCTTGAGCCGGTGACGATCTTGGTGCCATCGCCGGTGAATATGGCGCAGTTGACGTATGACGTGTGGCCCCTGAACTCCTTGAGCGTCTTGCCAGACTTAAGTCCGTGCAGACGGGCCGTGTTGTCGAACGACGCCGTCAGCAGCTGGCTGCTGTCCTTGCTGAACACTATACTCGTTATGCCTACACACACAAAAGGTGTTGTGTTGGTGTGAGGGTGTCTGTGGCTGAGCTGACACGCGCACCTCCTTGGTGTATTTTGGTGTATTTCTTGAGGCATTTGCCGGTGGATATCTTCCAGACCTTGAGGTTGCCGTCCTGGTCGCCCGACGCCAGCAGCTCGGCGTCACGCGTGAAGGCCAAGGACACCACCGCCGTGTCGTGAACCATGAAGGCGTCCTCAGCCTGGTAGGACAGGTCGGTCCGCAGCTTGCCAGTGAGGTAATCCCACACCTCCACAATGCCGTCAACAGAACTGACACAACACAACACAGGAAAGCAGATATGGCCGCACTTGTATGAGTAGAGGTGGCTGGGGGAGGGGATCGTACCCAGTGACTAGGTGCTGTCCGTCTGGCGAGAAGGCGGCGCACTCGGGGTAAGAGCGGGTGGGGAACTGACGACACACACACACACAGAACATAACTTCAATGGTTGGCCTGTGGTCTGTGGTCTGTGTCTGGTTTGGTACAATGATGGTTTTGGCAATGTCGCTGGCGCATTCCTCTGCCTCCTCCTTGGCTGTGGCCGCCATACCTGAAGGAACAACGGAGGAGAAAGACCGAGGGAAATACAGACCAGACAGATCTTCCCTCCGACATGTCGTTCACTCACCCCTGAAGAGATCAAACTTCATGCCGGGCGGGAGCAGACCTGTGTGTAAACAGACATCACACACACACCTCGCTGCGTCGGTCCACGTGCTTCTTGTTAGCTCGTGGTAAAGTCAGCTACCTTGGTGGTTTTGCCACTTCATGGCCTGGCCGATAATGGCGAGCAGCCTGGAGGGAGGGGCCGCCTGCAGATTCTGCACCATGTCTGCAAGGACACACACACATCGATGAGATGAAGGCCATTCATGTATCGGTAATCAACTCGCACTCACCCTGGCCAAGTGCCGCTCGCCTCTTCTCCACTGTCATGCCCTCATACGCCTGCACGCACACACAACACACACCCATCATGAGCACCACCCGCCAGGAGGCCAATCAACCACAATGTCACCTCTTTCGAGTCGACGTGTCCCTTGTTGCACAGGTGATCTAGCTTCTTGAATCTGTCCGGGTGAGTCAGTTTGAGCGACTGCAGGGCGGCCGTCTCGCGCAGCAGCTGACGCGCCACCTCTGGCTCCTTCGCTTCAAGCATCTCGCACACTATCTGCACACACGGTTACATCACACACACAGGAGGGGAGGGCGAATGGAGTACCCAATGCTGCCTTCTGCGTGTCGTTGTGTGTGCTGACGTGTTCGTATAGGTTTTGCAGGACTTCTTCCGGCAGGTTCATGCCCGCAGCGGTCTGCAGGACCTCCCCCCACTTGCCCTGGTTCACATCAGCCAGGAACTGATCCACACTCTCCACCGTGTTGTACGCAACACGGGACTCCTCCTGACCGACACAGACACACGAACACGTCATGAGTGCCGACAACACGCAGCTCGTGTGTGTGTCGTGTGTTTGGCGTGGCATACCTGCAGCGTCTGGAAGGTCCTGTGGAGTGAGTTCTCTTTGAGGAACTGCAAGATGAGGCGAATCACACTGCACCCAGCACACGCAGGCAACCACATGGGCATCACAGCCATCATCATCGCACACACTCGTGAACTTCTGCGGTCCCTCTGTGCCTCAGCTCACTCTGATGAGTCGATCTCCAACCGTTCGCCCATCTCAGTATCCGCAGCAGCAGATCTCAATCACACAAGACGACCCGAATCAGTTCGTTTTCCCGCCGTGGGACAGCCTGGCGCTTTGCGATGATATGAGCGCTGCTCGTTAAGCCTCTTCACCTCGGCACCTCACAAAGATCTGCGAGCTTGTAGCTCGCTCCCCTTCTCGCGATTTCATCGAAAAGAAGTGTTTTCGATGAGATCGTCGACGCCTGGCACTGCTAGGCCATCGCCCTCCCTGGCGGCAAACTATCATCATCACCTGCTTAACCCCGTCCACACCCCACATCCAACAATGCCTGGCTCTCCTCTCTCTCTCAACGGCACCGCAGCACCCGCCATCGCCCCGCTGTGGTACGCCAATGCCACCCAGAGGCCGCACCCGTCTGTAACCCTCCAGCAGCCCCCTGGACCGCAGACGCCGGAGGCTTCTGGTGACCAAGGCCAACTGAGCTGCTACGGCAAGTTCATGCGGTGCATCGGATTCAACGAGTGCCCCTGCACTCGTTCATCTGATGCATCCGCAGCCGGGCAGCCAGTGGCCCGACAAGGGCTGGGAAAGGCGAGTCCGTGGCAACACGGTCAGGGCTCGCCGCCCGCCACACACACGGGGGAGTCACTGGCAGCCACAGCGCTTCAGCCAGCCCCCTACAGCAGCACCAACAGGCCGCCAATCTACTGCCGCTATCCGCCATCAAGGGCGGCCTTTCAGCACCAGCAGCGCGCCGAGCCCACCGCAGCACCCAGGACGACTTATCGTCCAAATATCGCGCGGCTGACTGGGAATGAAATGCGTCGAGCTGAGCCACATCGTGGCTTTCAGCAGGGAGGGGAAGGGGAGTCTCTATCGCACGGCCGACGGCCACAGATCTGGCGGCCACCCCAGCAGCAGCAGCTGTGTTTCCTGCGCCCTGTGTTTCGGGGAGTCCAGCTGCCCCCACCAGGCGGCCTAAGCCTGTCCAAGCTGCGGCAGCTGCGCCCAGTAGCCGGGGACCAAGGGCCTGAGCCGGCCATTGAGGAGGCCGAGAGCGAGGGGAGTGAGGAGGCCGATGAGGAGGACCATGGGGAGGAGGCTGAGGGTCAGGAGGGAGGACCCGTCGAGGGGCACGACGCTGTAGTGCATGATGCTGGTGTGAGTGAGGACTGCGTAGGATTTGTCGTTGGAGAAGGTGAGCGAGTGGGTGACGGGGCACACACAGACGGCATGGCGGGGAGGCAGACAGACAGAGGGAGGGAGGGAGGTCTGGCCTGACCGATCATTGTCCTGTTTGC